CCTTCATCTCGATTCAACTGAACAGCCTGAAAAATAGATCAATTAACAACCTCTGCTCTCTTACTCCTTTTCTCTCTCACACATGCATACAGGCACGTCCCCGGCACGCAGCCGGAGGGGAGTGTGGGCGGCCGGTGTTGCCATGGAGCTGATATTGTACTGGTCCGTTTCTGTGGTGATGGGGACAGGGGTATGTCCCGGACCCACCGCTTCTACCTGCACAGCAACCTGAACCATGATCAACAAGGTTTGCAAACAATTACACATAAAGACAAAACAGGCAGTTTATTGTCAACAAAATATTTTAGAAAAAATCTTTCAGCAGTATGTAAAAAAAAACAGACAATGAATTTACTCTTGTACTGCAACCAACTCATTGGAGACAATATGGAAAGCACTTTACCGACTGTATCGGTTCTTTCTAGAAATAATAACACCCTTTTATTTAACTGTCTGGCTGGAAATATTATGAGCAGTCTATCCTACTGTTGGGTGCTGGCTAACCTTCTTATGTCCTGGCATTAAAACTACATAAAACATTTATCGATTAAAAGAAAATGAAAGGACTGCAGTACAGTTAGGGTGTGTTAGATGTTAATGTCCAGGAAGCTGACTGCACACTAAAGTTAGAATGGATCAGGTAGACATTTAAGAGCCTGTAATATGATCTGTTACACCAACAAACACACACAGTTATATTTTATCCAATATCACTAATGGAATGCCAACATTACTTCCGTGATTGTGTAAGTGTTAGAGAACCCACTAATCCAGTCAAGTCTCTAATGGGCTGAACGGAAAAGACAGAAAACTAATTGCAATAAACTTCCAAGCCATTCCTAGCCCTGTGTAAGTGTTACCATTAAATTAAAATGTCTCCGTAGATGTCTATGAAAGGATGGGTTGGCAACACGTAAGTGAGGGATGGTGACGTGTGAGTCAATGCTGATGTGGAGATTTATTAGGAAGCAGTGAAACAAATGAAAAAAGAGACCCACTAGAGTAGGTACTGACTGAGGGAGGAGGCCTGGCCCTGGATGTGGGGAAGAGGAGTTGACGTACCAGGAAATGTGGGTGGGGAAGACTGGTAAACTGGGCAGCATGATGGTCTCCCTACCTGCTGTCTCTTCTCTTCCGTAGGCGACTAATAACATACATCTAGAAAGACAAGAGAAGAGAAGAAAGATGTTTAACTAGGAAGAAGTGGGGAAATTGGGAAAAGTTACTGTTCACGTATGGGACAACAGAAAAGAGGACCGTTAAAGGAGACGCAAAGGAGCAAGTTGATCTTAGGGGCACACATCAAGGCAGTCAAAAGGGGCAAACCAATCCAATAGAGCTGACTACAGACTAGAGAACACAGGGAGAGTTACAGAATCCAGTCTGGGACTAAATGAGGGAATAAGTGACAGGTGTGCTGGGAGGAACAGGATCAGGTGACTGGCAAAAGGCGGGGAATGTCAGAGGGCATCTGGTTGAGAGATCTGGGCTACTGTTGAAAAGTAAAAGAATTACCTCCTAAAGTCTTTTCCTAACCACGATTTTCTCCTTCACATCTTTCCTGGACCGCATGACGTTTTCCATCGAGGTCAAGGAAAGATGTGAAGGAGAATTCCTAAGAATTTTGAAAAAGACAGCTGATGTCTTTTAACTGATGCTTGTTGTTATTGCAATATTCCCTTTCTTACTGTAACACTGCAAATGTCCACGTCGGGGAATACAGTATTATGTCATCTTAAACGTGGCCACCCTGGGGATGAAAACTACGTCATTTTAAATGTTGCTGCCGCAAGGAATTGTGGGGCGGGATTGTCTTCTTTCCTTTCGTAAAGGATGGTCCAGTGTATCCTATGCTAAAGGTGCTGAGACAGGAAGCATTGAAGCACCTTTCCTTAGCAGAATAGACGGGCAGATGTAACCCTGTTTTGTTTTTTACAGTGTGTGTGTGTGTGTGTACATGCACTCACAGATCCTGTGTGTTGAGGGTAAAGGGTATCCTCTATATGTCTGGTCCAGCTTCTTTCATCATCACCACAGCATCATCACTGTCACTCTGTGACCAGCTCACAATGCTGATTCCCCATTTCTACCTAAATATACTTATACACACATTCATAAAAAAAACTACAAGCGCACAACAAATACAATCTTTCTGAATGCAATGGACTCTAATCCCTCTCACCAGACATAAACACACAGATTCATGCATGCATGCATGTACAGACCTGTGTGTTGATAGATCTGTCCCTCTGGTTGCCAGGGAAACACCAAGATATAAGGCATCAGAATGGTTCATAGCTCTCCACTTCCTGGTGAACTGTGACTGATGGGGGTCATCGTAAGGTAAAGGGAGGGAGAGTAAAAAATTGCATATTTGTGTGTATGTGCTTGCTCCTGTGTTATGTGTGTGCCGTCCCCTGCAACAATGTTGAAGAGCTACATCTCTACTACATACTGTGTTGTTGGTAGAAGTATCCAGTACACCACTCATCTCTACTGTCAGCACAAAGACGAGTTGCATTATAGTTGACTGGTGTACCACATGATCCTGGACCGGTACAGGCAGGTGATAATGGTGGCCGATATCCAGCATCCACCTGCCTGCCTCCTCTTCCACTGACAAAGCTGCAGGCGCTCACACACGCGTAAAAAAACACACACAAGCAATCCTCGTGTGAGGTTAGGTCTCCGTTTTTAAGCGTAATGAGGCTCCATGACTCCACCATGCAGACAGAGCAGCAGGGCATGTGGAGGTCAGCAGAATTAATAGGGCCTGGAGAAAAAAAACACGAGGAAAATACACCTTTGTGTCGATGTATTCTTTATGTAAAGGCATGCATGTAAGCTATGCATCTCATTAGAAATGACATGGTCAAACTGTCTTCAGGGAACAAGCATTGAGCAAAAATTCTATTTTTGTCAGGGATTTCATTTTAGAGATAAGGGAGACTATCAGAATTCACATTATTAAGTCATTTTAATAAGTTGGGATGAAGGGAAAGAAGAATGCGTTCCTTAATAATTGCCTAAGGAATATCTCTACAGTAGGTCAGGAGAACCATAACATAGACCAACAATACAAACAGTGACGGTTGAGCATTGGGATGAATACTTGGATGTGAAGCAGTCAGTGTCTTCTCTAGACATCTGTCCAAATGGAGTGTTGTTGCTCTACAAGTGACCGGTAACTCCTTAAACCAAGGGTCACATCTGGGCAGTCAGAGGGAATGAGAGCATAAAAAGCCAAATAAAGAAAAGAAAATGATTATTGTTTCATTGCATTTACACCATAGAATGCACAATACCCGATGCTCCTATTCAAAGTTATTTGTGATTTTCTAAATGGACTGCAGAGGTAATGTTAAGTATTATGAATAATAATAAATGGCTTGAAACTTGAAAAAAATGTGTGGTGTTTGTGATTCTACTAATGCATCTAATTTACATTTTCTTAGATGTGTTGTTTCTGGTGTTACATTGTGGCCATCTATTTGGCTTTTTCGTCAAATGTGTGACAAAATGTTCTTGCAGTCATATTCTTCTGGCAGAATTTGTCTGGAACATGAGCAAAAAGCGATCCCGTTTTCCATTTTTCTTCTGGGTCCTTTGCTATCCTCTGCTTGTACAGCAATCCTGAAAGACTAAATGGCTTTCCTGAAAAATGGAGATGGACTGAAAGACAAGTGGAGAGAGAAAGAGATAAGTAGGAAAGAGTTTTTAAAAATGGACACAACTTAAAAATTATAAATTATAGAACACTTAAAATTAAAATTATAGAACACAATCATGAAAATGCACATAGCACAAGAGATAATGAACGCCCCCGGAGCAGTAACTAACACAGACAACAAACTCATCACATCTGGGCATGTGCTGTGAGCACTGCCTTAGGCTGCCATGGCTTTCACACCTCTCTAACTGTTTTAATTTCACACCGGGCTAAACATACAACATGATGCCTGTTTTGTGAAAATAAATAAAAATCAATTTCCTCCGAGATCGTGTAAATGCTTTGACTGCTTTCATACAGTCATGTAAATGCACTTACACATGATAAGCCCTGAGAAGATTAGTGTGTGGTCACCTTTGGGACAAACACTGGTGTTAACTAACGGGAAGGCGTTTAACTCAAATAGCTTTGACTCAACTATCACCAATCGGAAAGAAGACCTGAATATAAGGAATGTACTTAACATACAACAAGTTGTTGTTCGGTTCTCAATATATTGAATGTGACTCATTATTTTAAATCATGAGGTATGGCCAGTGAGCAGTTATAGAAAAATAACATGAAACAAATTACAAATACTTACTGTGTGGTTCTTTTTCAGAGTATTCTGAACTGCAATGTCTGAAGAGTGAAAACCAAGCTAATAATTGTTTAAATGAACAAACTAAAACTTCAACTATTTCCATGGCTGCTTATTGTGAGCATTTTTCACTGCTAAAACGTTACTCCTTATTAAACTTTGCTAGACCTGCTATGGTAAGATTGTAAACCTAACAACGGAATACACCCAATTAGAATGATATGACAAACATATGCAAATGATGGCAGTCAGCCTTGTTGATAGCTAGAAGAATAAAGTTCTTGCAAAAGGGCAATTTGCAGTGTGTTTTCGGCCTATCACGGTGTACTCAGCCGAGTCAGCGTAATTGTAGCAAACATTACGTTTCCTAGGGTTAAATGTGTATCCTGTTCTCCATCTCAGCTAAGAGTTAACTAATGTATAACCTCGACAGCTCAAAACTCATAAAATGAGCTTGAGACAGTATGTAGTGTCCAAATCCTACTTATTGTGTCCAAATCCTACTAAAATTGGTTACACTGAATGAAAGGTAACCCATTTATACAGCGTGAATTAGTTGAATACGTTTTATTTTTCAAAACCTCTCACTAGCAACCGCAAAACCCAAAATCAAATAAAACAAAAGTAAAAAACAGCAACACAGAAAACGTGGAAGCTGTAAAGTTAGAGATATATACTTTATTAATTTTCTCTGATAAAATAAAAATTACAAAATAATTTCAACCTCAAACGGCACTTTCCTTGTTCAAAATTATTTAACCTATTGTTAATACATATATCATAATTGTCATGACGAATGAAAAGAATAATATAGTTTAGTAATAGTAGATATCGGCTATAACTGTGTTTAATCATAATGGTAGAAAAGACTAAGCAATACAAAGCTAGATTTCGTTAACAGCATACTATACAATATTCCAAGCGTATGTAATTCAGTATTCCGGCCACAGCGTGTCGCTATAAGACAGTTTTCGATATTGTCTCCAATGGGTAGGCTTGTCTCTTTCCCATCACACCATTATAATTCCTCTCAGATATACTTAAGTATTTCTGTCTATGTGTTATTTATTTTATAAACAGCTGTTCCTTCATGGCCATCAATCCTTTGTAAAGGTATATTTGTGTTCCCTTGTGTTCATCCATAGTCCACCTTGTGAAGTCCACGTACAGCACTGTAACAAGTCCATACCCAGATTTTCACAGTTATTCCCTCAGAAATATTGTCAAGATATCTGCAACGCCTCCTGCTGTCTTCTGTCCCCAGTGACAGCAGCGTTCCCTGCCTCTTATTGAAGTCCATTTAAGAGAGAGCACTTTGGTTGTCGAGGTGTGTGTATATCCGTGTGTCCGTGCGTGTAGGCGTCTGTTCCTGTGTCTGCGTGGCAGTTTAAGTGATCGAGCAAGAAAGTGGGGTTGAGTGTATTTCTTTACACAGAATACATTCATGATAACAGTGTGTTGTTTTGGGACCACAAGCGAAGAATGGCAGTGAGTAAGGTCTTCTTTCCTTCATAAAGGGTCATAGACACAACCGTACACCGTGAACACATGAATCACACCAACTTATAATCACATAGCTAGACAATTGTTGGATTTTAAATTCAATTGAATTACGAATGTAAAAATCAACATTTTAGTAATTTTAAGTATAAATATTTATCAGAGAATTAAAGCAAAACAATAGATACTACAGCATCCCAGTCAATCTGACTCCACTGATTTCAGACAAGTAAAAGAATAATCAGATAATTTATTATTGATGGAGAATGTTTCAACTGTTATTTTACCTGAACACTCACCAAATGTGGAGCATCATGTTTATGCAAAGCTCTGTCTTGAAGTGTTTCTTCATAATTAATCAGCCAGATTGAAATGCCAGTTTAATAAATGTTTGTGTTGTAATCTATTACAACCCAATAGAATGTAATCGATTCTATCGCCCAACAACCATTTCAGTATTAATGCACTTGATACAACTATTTGTTTTTACAAGTAACAGAAATGTACACATCGGTTCAACCCAATCTGTAATTCAATAAATGCAATAGTAAAAAAGTCCTTTTGTTGTTGTGTTACGTTATTTTATCACCTGCGACTGTCTTCTCTGTCACAAACAGACGTTATGATGACTCATGCCCCTCAGTGTCATACCAACTTATGTTAGCTTCATCTGTAATTCGTGTAGTTCAGTGAACGGTTAAGTTTCTCCAAACCGAGAAGTTAAAATGTCACAACTATGCATTAGGTCACGCCCACAAAAGACAAGTCGTGTGGATGAACATTTTTTACAGTGTGTCTACATTGCTTGGCAGTGCATTGAGTGCTTGGCAGTATAGGCTTTAGTATCATCTTGTGGGCTACGACACACAATGTCTTTGTGTGAGTGTAAATAGGGCCTGCATTGTGAAAGATTGTGTATTTATGTTTGTGCTGCGTTAACTTGTATTGCGTGGATGATGCGTCAATATAAATTGTGTGTATATATGTGTGTGTGTGTGTGTGTGTGTGTGCAGTACATGCCACTAGTTTTTTTAAATTTTCTTTTTTTAAAATATCTTGGTCGTATTGATTGAACCTTCTGTTAAAGGGATGCTCGTTAACACACAATTAGCATTCAGATAGAAAATACATCATAAGGATAAAAAGTCATGGTCATTAATTCCTGATGAAGGGAGAGAGAGATCGGGAGGACGGAGAGAGAGAGAGAGAAAGAGAGACATAGAGAAAAAGAGAGAGAGAGATATAATAAAAGGCCCTTTTCAGTAATTGGAGTGGTATCCATTTAGGAGCTCTGAGTTTATATAATTATTCCTCGTTATTTCTCCTCCTCTCTCCTTCCCCCCTCCTCATCCTTTCTACCTCCATTTCTCACCCTCTTGACATTCTTCCTCCCCCTCACACCTTTTAGAGACTCCATTTTTCTTTTCCCCCCCTTGTCAAGGAAAGCGCCCCAAAGTCCTTAACATGTCTCATCGCTCATACTGGCCCTCCATCTTAATCCTATTATTTCTCCTCATAGTCCCATCTTCTACCCTCCCTCATGGAGCGCTACTTTCAGAGGATCACCTCGCGTTTCTTTCCTCCTCCCTCGCTATTTTCTTTCCATATTTGTCCTCTCCTGGTCCTCAGAGCTGTCTTCAGCAGCTAGAAGTGCAGGTGTTGGCACTGGGACTAGCCTCCAGGCTCCCCTCTGGGCTCAGAGGTGGGGGCGACAGAGGGGACTCCAAGGCCAAAGTAGGAACCTGGGATGGGGACGGGGCTGGCGATGCGACATGGATTGAGGAAACTGAAGCTGGTGCAGCGGTTAAAGACGCAGCTGGGGAGATTGGGACCACAGCACCTCCTCCAAAACCTCCTCTCCCGTCCCTTGAATCCCTCTCTCTTAGCAAGTGAACCAGGGCGGCGTGCTGGGCACTGAGGGTGGCAGAGAGGTGGGCGGGCAGGGTGTTGAAGCCGGCGGTAAGCTGCTCCACCCGCTGCTCCAGGGATAGCATCTGACGCTCCAAGTCCTCGCTGCGGTCGTTGAGCTCTGACATGAGCTCATACATGACGCTCTGCATCTGTGGAGAGGAGAGCAGAGGAGAGATGACTCAGTGAACAGATTGCTAATACGTAAACAGCAGTATTACGATGGTTGCTTTATTAAAGCTTGTTTCAAGAAAATGCATTTGGACTGAATAAGAAGAGACAATAAAAGGGGTTAGAGTATGAAGGAAAAGTGTGAGGAGGGGCAAGCCTGAGGCTGGGGAGGAGTGAGTAAGACAGGAAGCAAAAGATGTCCAAGAGGGAGCAGAAGCTGGAATGAAGAGGAGGCTGGAGGGAAGTCTCTGTGTGGGTGTTATAACATTGTGAAGAAAGAGAGAGGAGAGCGAGAATGAAATGTCCCTGCCTTGCACATCCTGGCCTGCGTAACCATGGTAAACGCACAAGTGGCCAATTGAGATGGAGTCGTTGAGATGGTGTAATTGCAAAATATTTGGTGCTAAAGGCATTGCTCCTAGAAAAGACATAAATACACACCCTCACTCCATCTTTTTCTCCCTCATATTCACGCACTCCCTCTTCTCACAATCACAATCACACACACACACACACACACACACACACACACACACACACACACACACACACACACACACGTGTGCACTCACATTCTCACTCAAACACCCACACGGTAACAGAAAAACATGAGAACCCCCCCTCCCTCCTCTCATTTCCTCCTCGCTCTCTCACACAGTCATCCCTGTTTTAACACTTGTTCCTGTTGCTAGGAGACACAAAGCCACGAAAACGGGCAGGTCATCATTGAAATGGAGGAATGTTGTGATGTATTACGGGGGGGGGGGGCAAAGGCATGCTTGGTATGAGTTACTAACCTGTGCGATGGTTACATGTCCTACATAAATGAAGAGCACGGATGTGTATGTAAGCTGTGTGTGTGTGTGTGTGTGTGTGTCTCACCTTTGAGAGGTCCACTAGTGTGTTGGCCTGATCACTGAGTTTCCTCTGCTCCATTTTCACACTGCGTAATCTGCAAACAGATGCACACACACACATTAAACACACAAAGTTGAAACGCAGTAAATACACAGTGGTCACTCCAGAGAGCCAATCCCTCCAGGTCCAGACAACAACACTGTAGAGCGGTCACCTTGCCTAATTCAGCTTCATTTCTACCTGCAGCGTGTCGCTGAATTTGAATGTACCAACATAGCATGCTCTGAAACGCTGTAATTTTGTAATGCAGGTGAAACTATAAATTTAATGTTGAAATAAAACTGAGACATTAAGCTCTAGGGTAAAGTATTTTAAATAATAAGAAACCTTAAGGGGAATAAAGCCCACAGGGAAATAAACTAAACGGAATGAAATAAGATCAAATAAAATAAATCATCTCTCTTCAGTCCAATTAAAAGTAGGACATGGCCGACTCTCAAAACACAATATAATAATTACTGAACTAAAGGTTTAATCTGAGTTTTCATAAAATAAACCCTGTGGCTTCCTCCAATATAATGAAGTGTGAATTGTATGAGGCTGCACCTCCGGATGAGCATGTCCCCCTTTTGACGCTAACAGGGTTGAACAGGCAAATGTACTCAAATTCCCCCAAAATCACCCTGTTACTGTGTTCACAGAGCCAGCCTCTGAGCCACAGTCCACACGCTTCAGGACGAGCCTTTCTATGTCACAATTAAAAAGAGTCTTAGGTCTCTTGACTCTGGCTTTTGAAGCCAGTTGTTCTTAAGTCTAGACTGAACTGTTCCAGATCAAAGGAGCAAGCAGCATAAAAGGGACGCTTAATTGTGATGCTAGACGGAGGATATACAAAAATCTTTGAGTAAGACAAGCTTTAACAAGACAATACCCTTGTGGCCATTCAAATACGACCAAACAATGCTCTGAAGAAGAGAATTTTAAAGCGTGATTGAGGTCTACAGTATGTATTTGTATCAACAACACTTGGAAGGAGAGATGATATCTCTAATCATCACAGTACATAATGTACTGATTTTTCAGTCCCACAATTATATTTGCCTGAAGTGAACCTTCCCTTTAGTAGATGATGATTCATTTTGTGCGTCTGTGTGTATGTGTGTGTTTGTGTTTAGAGATTCTTGCACTTCATCTGATCATCAGCGTTGATTCAACTTGTGGGTGGATAGAAAGTACGGCTGAATTCAAAGGCTTATGTGCTTGTGTGTGTATTTGAGTGTGTGTATGCGCGTGTGTGTGGGTGGATGTAAGGCGTGGTCTTACTGATGAATAGCCTGGAGGAACTTCCGCTGGTGTTTGCGGACTCTGCAGTGGTCGATCTTTTTCGCCATCTTGGTGTGTTTGTAGATGAGCCAGGTTTCCCGCAGCACGTTAGCCGCTGCATTCTTTATCTGCTCGCAGACAATAAACACACAGACACATTGTTAGCAACAGGTAGTCCTTGGCAGCAGGTTTGAGAACAGGGCTCGGCAAACCTGTTTCAAAGAGAAAGAGAACAAGGCTCTGTTTTCTGTGGCTACGGCCCTGTTTTCTCTGGCCCCAGCCATGTTCTGAAGGGCCCTTTTTGGGGGGGGCTTAGCCCTGTTCTCTGGCCCTTGCCCTGGTTTCTCTCTGGGGCCCCAGCCCTGTTTTCTTGGGCCCAGCCTTGATCTTTGGGGCCCAGCCCTGTTCTTTGGGGCCCAGCCCTGTTCTTTAGGGACCAGGCCTGTTCTCTGGGGCCCTGTTCGTTCTCTTTCAGAGAGGTTTTCTCAGTCACTCTCTCTTTTTCCGTCCATTCTCCGTTGTCTCCTTGCAAACATAAAAAAACAAAAAAAAAAACTATACCATTTGTTTCGTCTTGGAGGCTGCCCTCATTGTCTCTGTCTCTCTCTACACAGACCGGCTTGGTTGCCAGTGCTTTTCATGCGTGCATAAACAGCCTTCTCCTTAGGGAGATTTGGCAATGAGAACCAACAGGAGTCTCTCGCACGCACGCACGCACGCACGCACGCGCACACACACACACACACACACACACACACACACACACACACACACACACTTCTTTCCTCTCTTTATGCCACATTATATGTTAGACTAACTCAAATGGGCGTCATTATCTTGGCTGGTTGAAAGTAATTTACTACTGTAACACCGCAGTTCATTAAAACCAGGGATCTTCCATTTAATTATGGCAGCAACTGAAAGAAACAATGGTGGCATGAGTAGCTGCTCTTAAACTAGCTGTCAAAGACAATCCTCATCCCTGGAGAATAGACATATTAGAGAAATAGCCTATGTAATGATGTTCACTCATGGAAAGCCTGATAGCCATCAGAGTTAAAAGCAAGATGGGTATTTTTCTCCAGTGTACTGGTCAGACATAGGCTTCAGTTGTTTTTCCCTTGTCCCATATATAGGTGACATTCCTGTGATTTAATAAAAGACATCCAATAATAAAATAAATGTCACTGTAGGCTTCAGGTTGATTTCTATGTACAAGGATCAGGATTCAGTTACATTCATTTATATCTGCTCCACTATGTTTCATGTACTGTACATCGTTATAGGTTGCTCAGTAATTACAACACAGAGGTCTGACGCCCAGTCAAAAAAACGCGGGTGAATACCATAGAGAAGCGAGAAGGGAGAGGGCAGAGAGAATCTGTAAGGACATGAATCGAATGAGAGACTTCAAAGAGATGCCGAACACTGAACAAAGAACAATTATAGCCCAGTCTGAGGAGCACAAAAGACCCCGGCAGCTTGGCTAATCAGCAACTATCCAACGCAGTCAAGGACTCCTCACACACATACTGTACACGCCTACACATAAACACATAAACACATGCAGACAAACACACACTATTGGCCACAGATGGAGAGAGTAGGAGGCCCTGGGCCTTGCAGATGTGTTTTCAATGACACAGAGGAAGTCAAACCGAAAAGTGCTGATCCAATATACTATAGATGATATATAAATAGTCATACAGCTCTTAATGACAGTTAACATTACAAACATATTAATTCTCGGCTTTATACAGCTAATCTACTGATAAGATACTAAAATGAAGTATGTATATCTGATGTGAGTAAACCCTAACAAATTAAATAAAAAAGATTATATAATATGTTCAGTTCACACGCCATGACCAATGTAATTGGGATGTAAAGCTATAGGGCTGGAGTATAAGGTAAAGCCTGATATCTCATCTGTGTATCAATAGGGTTACAGAACTCCCATCCATTTAGCCAGGACAGGCACTGACAGAGCTGCAAAGATCCTGAGGAGGCTTCATCCAAATGAAGACATTTGTTAGTGGGCTTACGGTGCTATCTGGACGGTAGTGTTTATTTATTTAGATAGTGTTTCAACATAAAATTTAGAGTCACAACTGCACTGCTTTAGAGGATATTTGCAACCAAACGTCAGTGATAGTAAAGAGTAAATCTTATCTCTAGTTTTACTCATGGGCCAGGTTACTGAAGAGCACATTCAATACCCTTCATATCTACAGGCCCATTGGTAAATTGATATGTCAAATCATATTTGTCAGTTCACTCATCAATGCAGGGTGAGCGAAATATGATGAATGATGGCATGTTGTCTCTGTCCAGCTCGCTCGCTGTGGAAGTTTTCAAACTTCCAACATCTGCAGCAGTATGAGCTGTTGCACTGCCTCAGGCCAGTTAATTAGACAAAGCTTCACCCTTAATTTAAAATCAGGAGGACTGCTCCACATGCAAATGACTGATAATATCACACTGTTAGTATTTTGCAGTTAATCCGCCCCACCACCCTCTTTATTTATCATTCTCTATCCTCCTGGCTGTTAACGAAGAAACTGAGGAAATTCCATTGGCCAAAAACACTCAACATAAGGCGCTAAAAATACTCCACAAAACAAAAACCCGACAGCAGCAGCAGCAGCAGCAGCTATTCCCGGACCATATGGCATGTAGTTGGGCAACCATGTATGGCTGGTTAGGGTCAAAGATCTGTTCTGGTTGCTCCCCTACACGGCACACCTTATGGCAGGTACATGAGAAATCTGTTAAGACAAGAGGTTCCCACAACTCAGCATGTTGAGTGGTTGATGTCATATTGTGGATTATAATTTAATCAGTATGAATGGAAATATTTTTTAATTGTCATTACAGACACGACCACATAGAAAATAAAAAAACTAAGCATTAAGCTCCGACACGTCTTTGTTGCTTAAACTAAAAAACAAAACAAATCCTGGACTTTTTCCCCTTCATTCTCCAAAGTGATGGAGACAGTTTTCTAACATGAGAGGCAAAGCCGAGGCACCTAACCCTTACATACCACCCTGGAGAGCCTTGATGACCTATGTATGCAATTAGTAGCCTGATTAGGAGCTTAGTGCTACAGTGGATCAGAAAACATAAACAAACAGACCAATTACCTTGGCAACAACCTCCCACCTCATCCATGTGCCACGGCAACATGTCGCCTTACTTGCTCTGACCTTCCCCTCTCGGACATAATGACACAGGGAAGAGACATGGGGTCAGATCTAGGCAGGGCTCCATTCAAAAGAAGAGTTCAAGTGGTAAAAAGTGTCAGAGAGATGTGTAAATGCCTTCACTGAGTGTCAAATACATTTTTGTCGCTGTCTCAATACGTTCCACACCTATAATAATCCATTTTGCTTGCGTGTGAATTAAAAGGCGGTCGGATAGAAGTTATTTTTACTGCGTGGAGTGAAAGCTAGCTTAGTAGAAATCTTCAGGGGTTAGATTGCTCCCATTTGACTAATGGTGTAAACATTGGAAGGCATTGCAGCACCTCCTCCTTGGCCAGAGCCCAGAGTGCACTCTCAGTATTCAGCGGGCGAAATTCTGAATATGCCACGGGGACTTCTAAAAGTGCTCTGATTTAACCAATCGTTCAGAGTGGAATCAGAATACACATTTGGAGTGCCAATTTATAGAAAGACGTAACATTTTCAACTTTGCAAAGCGGCTTAAAAAGCTTGAAATACAAATACTGACCTCAGAAACAGACATATTAACACAGTGAATTGGCTTATGGCTTCAACGAATGGCATCTAATTGGCATTGTAGTGCTATCAAAAGGAAGGACAAAATAATCCACTCCTCTGACTTAGCGCATACAGTAAGCGTGTCCTGCTTTTTCAGTGTCGGGAGTGCTCTTTGAATGTGCAAGGGGATGCTCTGACCTGATGAACTTCCAGCACTTCTCTGAATTAACCAATACTTCAGTATGTAGCCACAGAACACTGCTGAGACCAGTGTCATCCTTTTAAAAACACACTTCCAACACTCTGCATCAAGGCAACAAGTGTCCTGATTTCAAACATGAGCACTTGCAACCTCACACACATGGTCGACTTAAGGGCTATATGAACTGTTCAGATCAAAGGGAAAGGGACACTTCACTGAACGCTGCATGAAAATGAACCCTGTGCATTGAATGTGGAATGATGTTTTTAAAGTCCATCATTCTCCTTGATAAGATGATTAGGTCCTCTGCACCCAATCTGCACCACATACGATTTTAAGTTTTCAGCCTTTTCGGGTGCATCTAAAAATCTGATCTGAGGATGAAAGAAGAAAACGCAAATGAAAGCGAGTGAAATATTTTGAAGTGCGTGTCAGGGAGTGTCAAAAAAACACCACACTCATTTGAACTAAAAATGATCTGTGCGGTACACAGATGTCACAGGAAGTAAGTTTTCTTGCGGTTTTAGGACTCTCTGTGCAACCACAACCAACACTTTTTCTTACATGACACACATGTAAAAACAAAGACAACAATGTCAAACACAGACGTTATCGACTACAGCAGCCACTGGCTGAGAGCGACACTGATTGGCATTTACTTGACATTGTTAGTAATCCTTCAAATGCTATTTCATGGACGTAGAAAGCCAGGGGATGTGCTTTTGTGTCTATTTGTGTGTGTTTGTGTGTGCATATACAATGACGGCAGGATGTAAAGTCTATCGTTGCATTATTCATTATAAAGCGTGAGTGATTTTATTCTCTTGTTATGATGATATGGCGGAGAATGGCTCCAGCCATGTAAATCAATGTGCAAACAACAGCTTCAATGATTGCTCTTTCAGTAATAGAGGGCAGGAGACAATTACCACCGCATAAACCGAAAACCCTTTGAAGGAAATGTCACGAAGGAGCATGCTGCATTGTGTTGAATAAAACTGCTGTATGACGCCTCCCTTACTTGGTGACTGGCTTTATTCAGAGAGTAGTTTACTTGATTGAGAAGAATATTCCCTTTAAAATGTATAGTATGAGTCCTCTCATTGATCTCGGGAGTGATCAAAATCAGTTTGAGCTATATTCATGCAATAAATATCATTGCAATTACTTCTAAAAGTTACAAAAAAACATAATTTTCCATTTAAAATCAGTTTTCAGAAGGGAAATTAGTGTGAGGCTGGTCCTTCATAAATATTCACAGTCACAATAACCAGCTACGGTGACAGAACTCCAACCAACCAGTGTCAGTTTCACTGTCACACCTGGACACCATGAGCTGCTAGTTAGAAAAGTTAGGAAGTTGAAACAGCTAAAGGACTAAATTAATTAACCATACGGCCTCTCCCACGTTTCCATTTGTTTAGCAGCATGGACAGAAAACTTGACCAAACCTACTGACACAAGAGTCTATAGCCATGTGAGTGACTCTGTTAGGCTTGAGCTATATGCAAACATCAGCATGCTAAAATGTGCTCACAATGTTAACATGCTGATGTCAAGTAGAAATATTTACACCATCTTAGTTGCTATTTAGCTCAAAACACAAAGTGCAGTCGAAGGGAATTTCTTTGCAATCCATCCAACAGTTAACAAGATGTTTCAATCGAATAGTTGAGATATGACAGTCTGGAACCAACGTGGTGGATTGACTGACCCATCTAGCATTGATTAAAAAGTCTGTTCAACGTTTCTGTCGATATTCTATCCACACTGAAATCATTGATAACCCTACCGCGTTCAGTCACCCAGATACCCTGCTGCCATAATGTACCCTACATATTTGATATGGGAGCTATTTTTAAAACTTGGAACTTTCAACTGTATGAAAAATTAAAGAGAACCACAGGAAGGAGGGACTGAGTGATGGAGAGGAAGAGGCAGCGAGGGGGCAAGCATGAAGGGAAGGAGAGGGCAAATAGATGGAGGAGAGGAGAGAAGGTGACAGAAAAAAAGAGAGAGAGAGATAAAGAGAAAGAGAGAGAGAGAAAGGGATTTACTGTAAGAGAGACAAATGTCAGAGGAGAGGGGAGGTGGTAGGGTGGAGGGATGGCCATGTGGGAGGAAAAAGATTGTCGATGGGAAGATAGAGAGGGACGGTAAGTGAGGGAGCAGAACAGAGAAGGCGAGAAACAGATGACCTTTTATTGCCTTCACTCACTCAAATAACATGGCACTCTGTCACAGCAATACAGGGTGAGAGTGTGATGTAGTAGTGGGGAAGGGTGAGGGAGGGGCAGCGAAAGAACAAGCCGCTCTCAACCGCCTTGTTTTCAACACCTGAACTAAGGAATCTGAAAACATAGTATAAATTCACCCAGCGGACGATGACACATACAATAAAAACATACAAACCACTTTTATAAATACAGTTCTGTTGGAATCCCAATAGTGGTGCACGCAGAGAACGTGTGCCTTCTCTCTATATTCATTCATTCACACCACATGAGCCTACACACCCTCTTGGTGAGTTGCGTGTCCATCATGAAGTTGTGCACGTGTTTCTCGGCCTTGGTCAGCTCCAGCTTCCTGGCTACCACGGCAACCACCAGAGCCGTACAGCCCGCACCCTGAGAGAGTGGAGAAAGGGAGGAGGATGAGGAGAAAACCGAGCACTGAGTCAGTCAGTTAAGAGGACGAATTGGTAAATTGGTGGCTTTCGGCCGGGGAATTAGCTCAGTTGATTGAAGGGAGTGAGGACAAATGTGAGGAAGGGAGCCGTATGACAGAAGGAGAAGTGAATTGGAGAGGCGAGGGGATTAAGAGGGATAGCTCTGTTCCACATCCACACTTCCTCATGTTGAGCGGCGCGCCAAGTCTATTTTCACTTCCAATCCATCTGGTGTGAGATCCCCTCTATATCGCCTCTATATTGAGCTGAAAAAGATCCTCTTTATAGAAGAAAAACACATCAAAGATTGACACCACCTAATTTAATTTAATTGGATGCTGCCAATCTGAATTACATGGCGTCAGTCTTTTCCTGTCACCGGAGGCTCGAGGCCTGCAGGAAGTGTAAAAGTATGAAACACAGACTGGTTTGTCTGTATTCCAGCTCGGCCCACATGGGACATATGGCAAATTAATTTGGGAGAGAGTGACAGCAGTCTCTCAACCAGAAAGACATGCCTGAGAGGAGAAGAGGAGCAGAAACACGGGCAGGAAGACAGACTTAATTAACTTTCCGATTAGATACTGTTTTAAATGGGGCTGTTGAGTGCTCACAGGTTCCTCTGAAGGGGCAAGCACTGAGAGGAAAAAAAAGATAAAGAGAGTGTAGAGCTATGAGTAAATATAAATGGGGACGGAAGGAAACATGGAGGGCGGTTGAATTGAGGAGGCTAGGGTGCGTGCACACAATAGGAGAAAGATGGAGAAGAAGGCAACGTTAATGAGGTCACTTATCTCCTGATAACAAATTAAGATTAAGTGTGTCAAATGGAAATGTAGGGAGGGAGAGAATAAAAAGATACAAGGAGAGAAACACGGTGAGTTAGAGAGGGAAAGCGAGGGACCATGCAACGTTTTCAAGCGTGTAAGAAATAGCCAAGACTCCGTCGTGCACACTCTTGAATGATAACACAGGTTTCCCAAAAATAACTTTGGCTGAGTTCAGTGAAATGTAAAGCGCAAACGGGCATTAGTGCCCACGTGTACACACTCACCCACTCTATTTGTGTTTATTCAACAACTATGAATAAAATATGATGGAAAACCCTTTGAGCGTTCATACATGTCTGTGCTTTAGGGAAAAGAAGCCTCGACGAACTGCTTCAGTACAGTGTGTACAAGTGCAGACCTGCACATATCCAACTGTGTGTATGCATGTGCGCTCAAATTTGTCCTCATCGGTCACAAACAGTAGGGTGCTGATTGGTTTGTCATCGAAGGCTATATATGTTTGCGTGTGCTCGAGTTTGTTTGTGTATATGCCGGCATCCATTTGATTTCACCAGGGTTCCCTGTGCAATCTCCAGAGTGACACGGCTGATGATGGCTGTGATTTGTTTCATACGCCCGGGTTTCCCTCGCTTCCTCCACTACAGCGCAGCCATCTACGAAGCTGTCAGAAAAGGGGGAATCACCCATCTGTGCTTCTGTGTAACATCCACACACTACAGGTTTAAAAACTGCATCTCTTTGAGCTTCATGCAGTGGAAAGTACTTTCCCCAAACAGGTCAGCAGGAACACACAGAGAAAAGTGGGAAAGACATTTAACAGAAAAAATGTGACATTTAATTTGCTCATTTAGAGAGCGCAGCACAAGCACTTAAGAGGCAGACAAAAGCACAAAATAGATGTGAAATGGCAGCTACTCTACATCTCGTCCACCTTCCAGAACGACAGTATATCAAGAGGCTGCAGACAAACACAAACACACAAACATACGCTATCACTTTACTTTAACCCCTGACCCCATTTGGAATTTATAAGCAGTATATAAACAGCTGATAAAAGGCTTATAACACATTATAATGGAGCTGTACGCAGATATAAGACAATGTATAAACATATATAACTGTGCCTATAAGACATATTATATAATTATAACTGTTTTACTATATCGTCATTTATTATCTGTTTATACACCAGCGTCCACTTTTACCCTAGTTGACAAATACGTGAATACATTCAACACTATCTGCTTACAACTACAGTATAATGTGTATATGCTGCCTATAAATGCTAAACGGGGGATATATACTGTATATATATATATATATAAATGAAATACAGACATTGTGATTTAGACAACACACACCTTTCTTGCTGTATATAAGAACAACAACATGTTGTGGCAGTCTACCACCATCCGCCCACCCACAACGACACACAAACACACACATACACACACATACACCTGGCCCACCCCCGGTAGCCTCGTGGTATATTCCCTCACTATTGGCCTTCATGTGTTGTCATAGTAACTACGTCGAGAATTTCCCCTATAGAAACTCATTACAATAATTCGCAAGCAAGAAAAAAAACAAAAACTCATATCCTGTTCTCTGCCCTCGACCTTTGACCCCTTTTAAAATTTTTCTTTTCAATTTTCTCCCGCTCCGCTTTCCGATGACCTGCTGCCCCTGGTCTCCCTCACCTTCTACCTGCATTCTCATTCCCTCTCAGATGATCAATGCAAATTCACCCCTTTTGAAGAGAGCAGTCAGAGTGTGTTTGTGTGACAGGAGAGGAGAGAGTGTGTGTGTGTGGGAGTCACAGTAAGAGTGTATGTCAAGCTCTGTGTCAGTGCTGTGTGGAGGATGAGGTCCGTAACAGTGGGCTTGGGATGTTCTGCATCCACCCCCTGGTGTGTGTCATTGTGAGTGTGTGTTACATTACAGTAAGAGTTGTACTCCAAAACACAGATTGGATGATTCATCCAGCAAATGGGGGTCTGTCAGTGTGTTTTTGTGCATGAATGTGTTTATTTACACATTTAATGGACTATACAGTAAAGAAAGTAGGTGAGCTGGCAAATACGGGGAGGCTGGACAGACACAGTGAGATATATAGACTCCAAAATGATCTATGTGACTCTATGATCCAGCCAGTGCTGCACACTCACACTACTGAGACTAAAAGTGAAATAGTTTCCAAAACGACACAAGTAATCACATTAAGTCAAGTACCTTTCTGTGTAAAATATTGGCAGATTTATGATTTTGAGAGTTATGTTGAGCGCTTTCTGATTTTCCCTCTTGATTTTTCTTCAACAATCATCCAGCACTCATTAAACTGCATTAAGGCACTTCTACATTGGCTTCAACCAGGTTTTCTGCTTGACTTCAGGCACACTTTACCATAACAACAGGACTGAGCATTCAAGTCCAGAAATGGAATACAGAAGATTAATGCAGTGATGGTATTGGTAGTAAAATGCTGTTTTAGCAGCTTATGGTCAGATATTTTCTTCCAATTAAACAAAAACAATTCAGAAGCTCTAATGCTTGTTTTTATCATCACTTCTTCATCTTTTTGTAGGAATGCCATTTTGAGAAACACATTGATCAGATTGTGCTTAATGCATTGCATGAGTCTGTATTTCAGGAAAGTAATATTGCTACACAATTAGGTTAAAAAACGACAGTATACCCAACTCAGGTGAGCCCCCACTGTGAAGTGATTCTCATCCATTTAGCTACACACAGTCTTCTATTAATCACATACTCTCCCTTTTGGCAAAATAAAACATGTGCTGCATCGTGTCCCATGAGAGAAATATTACCAAGGAACATATTATCATCATATTTTGAGCCCTATTTTTTCTTTCCTGACCTTATAAAGAAAAAAGTGATCAATTGACATTTTAATTCACTTGACATTTAGCTTTTGAGCTAATAAAAAAAATTGGAATTTTCTTGCATTTTAAATGACACGTATTGCCTCCAATTAACCAGAACAGTGAATGTTAAAGTGATGACATAGAACAAGTAGTGTCAACGTTATGTCAACGTTAATAAAGTGTTGATCAGTTGGATCAATTTCCCAAAAACTTGTGGTTATTTCAAATAGACTTTATAAATGAAGGAGAAAAGACCAGTAAGACAAAACATAAACAGACAGAAATAAATGAATAGTTTGAGGAGGGAAGAACACCTGTGAAGAGGATACAGGCGGCAGCTTATACACTGGTACTAACAGATGGACGATAGATAGAAATAAACACATGGCCTCAGGGAAGGAGAGAGGAAATGAGAGAGGGATAAACAGAAAGAGAGTGACGGAACTAGAGAGCGCTATAGTGGTACGAAGAGAAAAATGAGAGCGAGAGAGAGTGGGAGGACATGGCACACTGAAAGGTGGGACCTTCATTATGCAATGAGGACAGACAGGGGAATAACATGCACACACACACAACCCCCTAACATGCTCTTGTTTGCACGCCTACACACCCAAAACACACAGAAGCACAGATGCAGGCTAATTCAAAGAGGATTGCCCAAATTACACAAATGGCAGAATTTCTCTCACAAATGACAGCATGCTCTCTAATCTGCTGACCTTTGAACGAGGCAAGGACAGCGCCAAGGGGAAGGGGAGCGAGAGAGAGAGAGAGAGAGAGAGAGGGAGGAAGAGAGGGAGAGAGAGACAGAGAGAGACAGCGAGAGAGAGAGAGGGAGACAGAGAGACACAGAGACAGAGACAGAGAGAGAGAGGGAGGAAGAGAGGGAGGGAATGTACTGACCATGATTCCTGTGAGCAGACAGACTCCTTTGCCACAGTAGGTGTGAGGAACCATGTCTCCATAGCCGATGGACAAGAAAGTGATGGAGATGAGCCACATGGCTCCCAGGAAGTTACTGGTCACATCCTGGGCATCATGATACCTAAAGGAAACAGGAAACACCGTCCGCGTTCGGAGGACAAAGTCAGTCAATAGTAAAATACATAAATAAAGAAAAATAACAACATCACTGCGAATGTGGGCGTCAAACCTCCAACACGTGACCTTTTTTGTTGTTGCTGAACACAACACATAAACAGCAGCTCTGGCCGCAGTCATTCCTGTACCCTGTGCACAACACTGTTGCCATAGCAACCGCATGTGGTGCAGATCTGACACAAAGTTGTTTTCACAAAAAGAGGAACACGCTCTGCATTCACATATTTGCACCACGTCTGAAGCAGTTTAACTGAGTTTCATGTGATCCTTCTTTTGATAATTGGGTTTGGAGAGGAGAGGAAATGGCAATTAAACTTGGATGTAGACCAAACAAAGCAGCTGGGCAACGATGCATCTAATCAAGCTAATTAATCAACTGACATTTTTCCATATTTCCATGATTATCTCCAAAAGCATTTAAACTCACAAAAAGGATGGTCACTTATTCAGTTATAAATACATTTCTACTCTCTATGACAACTGAGCAAACTCAGGACACAATTATATTACAAAATGGACATACGAAGTAACAACTCCATCGCCTGGATCAAATTAAGTGTACAACTGACGAGAAAGCCCCATAAACTGAAGTCTAAAGATGGATCATGTTGCACACACGTCCGAGATTATATTTCCTGCCAATTGAATTGAATTGCTCAGTTGAATTCCTCGTCCAATCACAGTCCGTCAGTCCGTCAGTCCGTCTCATGCACGCACACGATGAATAAACACGACAAATACAATCCAACCAGCTTCGCAACTCACCTCTCGCACACTCGTACGGTCCAGGCAGCGATGATCCACAGAGAGATGCTGAAGACCAGCAGCACCGTCCCGGGGCAGATCGTCATGAGGGTTTTCATTACAAACCGTGTGTTAAAATGCACCTGCAATACACACACACACACACACACACACACACACACACACAAGGACACACACTCAGTGTCGCACAGTTGATAGATGACAATGTTATACACGTTTTTTGATGGGCTACTGCGTAGCTCTGAATCCTCATCCTGTTCACCGTTTCACACCCAGACTTGGTGCTTTACTAATTAGTTTTCTGAGTAGCTTTTGATAGCGGCAGCTCTCTGAGAATCTCCACTGTAATTGGAGTCAAGATCGGGGCTCGCCCTCTGACTCGGGTCAAGCTATACACTGTCTTTGAGTAATTGGCCTTTTTCAATGTAGTTTTTATCCGTGGCTCATTTGTCATCAACTTCTGGCAGATGGATGATCTGAGAGCAGCGGTTGAGCCCTGGAATAGTTAAGCAGCTGATAAATGAGTTGTCATGCTAGAGCTACACTTCAGTGTCAGCTTCACCTCCTCCACAGCACTGTGACCTGAGGGTCAGAATAGTGCCATCACAGATACACTCACAACCTGCTAAATGACCCATCTAAAATCGACTCCATCTCTCCCGCCGTCCTCCTCTGTCTTGCACTTTGCAAATTTGCCATCACACGCTACATCCCTTCTTCCTGATTTTACAATAATGTGTTTATCGTTTGACGTGATTACAAACGTGGCAAACACAATCATTTATTGCACGGCTTGCACACATTTCTCCGCACTCGTATTGCAATCTCATTCAACTCCTTTTCATGCTCCATTTGAACCGTACGCAATATCTTGTTCTCATTTCATGCTCCCATCTCACATTGTATTATAAAAAGATCCACCACAGCTTACATCTAAGTCTCCATCTACAGCGATAACAATGGAGCGGAAGGGCAATTGAACTGCTAGATGAAAAGAAACAGGGTGACTAGAAGGACAGAAGGAAGGACTTGTTAGAGAGATAGAGGCCAAGAATGAAAGGGACATGGTGGACACAGATTTAATTCTGAAGAGAGAGCTCTTGACCTTAATACCTTTACAACCCCCTCGCCTCTCTCTCTCTCTCTCTCTCTCTCACAGAAGCTTTGACAACCACACTTTTTAAATGCACTGTGCATATACACACACACACACCTGCAAGCACTAAACCCTTCTGACCTTATTTAGGGCGCCTATACTCCTGGAGGAGGCGTCTGTGAAGAGTTTGCTGTGCAGGAGCATGACTCTGGCGATGAGGTAGAGGCGCAGGAACATGGGCACGCTCAACACCATGTCCAGGTCAGCCTCGGCATGCGACGGCGCGTACGAGAAGGCCAGCCGCGCCCGCCACTGAAACTTAAAGTCCCCTGGCACTGGATGCACCGCAGACACCAGCAGCTCCAGAGAGATCAGCAGAACCCTCTCCATGGTCATGGCGATGCGCCAGTCGTCAGCTCCGTTATCGATGACAAACAGCTGCGAGGACAGGAAGGACATGAGGAGAGTTAAAAGAGGGAAGGAGTTACACATGTTTTAATGCCCCACTGTGTACACTTTTCATCATGATCCTCTGCTGGCACAGTCCACTCATCAGTACAGCTGACTGATCTTTTGATTAAAGGGACAAGCAGCAATTTAGAGTAAATGTCTCTTTCTTGAGATGTAAAACAGCATCCATCTAATCAGTAATCTATTCAGTCTCTCCACAGTGATTTGGCTCATTTCCATGTACCCTACAAGTCTCACTAAAATGAAACCAAAGTCATCTCAAGCAGCAAAACAGGCTCCTAATTATAACAATCACAATATTTAAAAAACAAACAAAACAAGACCACTTTATTACTTCCGGTGTCATGAGCATGTGCCTCACATTGTTACTTTAATTGCAGTTTTCCGTCCCTGTATGTTGATGTTTTGTATTCGTAATTGCTGTGGTTACTCTTGATATTGTTGCCAAAGCTGCTGTTATAGGGAAGTGATAAGAGCAGGGTTTCATTACAGGGGCGATCCTCCTTTCCTTACGGCGCTGACAGGAACTGGGGTGGGGGGGAGGAGAAGGCAGTGGAAAGAGATGGATGAAGAGCAGAGGAAATGAGGAGATAAAGATAGGAAGTCAGTAAATTTCAGGAAATGTCAGTAATTTTTTCTAGGGCAGTAGAATAATGATGATCTTGCACACAGAAATTGTTTGAAGGATTTTCTAGATATTCATATCTGGATACCTCATATAAATCAAGAAGACTTGAACTTGATTGTACAATATTCTTGACTGTTTGGTTTGCAAAGGAAACAGGATTGGATTTCAATTTAGCCGTGAAATTGCTATTATTAAAATATAATACAATTTTTAGGTCTCAGTTATGAATAAAAATGTCTTCAGTGGAGATTCTTGCAGTGGACAACAAAGGTTAAAGAGAGAAAGAGACGCACAACATCCTAAAAAGGAAGGCCTGGGCACAGTGAGAGAATGAGGAACTCCCCTGCTGTAAAGCAGCAGAGTTTACCAGATGCTGCTGCCTCGACAAACAGCCGGTGCTAACAATTGCTCTTTACCATATGATTCATCCCGAGGGCTTTTAGCCCACACAAACGTTTATTTTGGAAAACAAAAAACTACGATCACAGGTCAAACTTTAGAACAAGCGGGCATGACAGCCAGCCGCTCTGTGTCATAGCCAACTATTCACTGTCAGAGGGAAGGCGGACTGAAGCTCTGCCACTTTCTCAACCATCTTTGGATACACACACTGAGTGTTTCCCTGGTTCTGCTGTGCACATAATCAACATGTGTGCACACACATATGTAGCCTACGCACACGCCCGAGTCATTGTGTAAGCCGTCATTTGAACCGAGGGTCAAACGCTGCCCGTATTCTTTAATGATTTCAGTGAGCGTGCATGTGTGTGCATGTGTGTACTGTACTTGTGTGTATTTGTGTATGCCTGAGTGAGTTTGAGGAAGAGTGTGCAGACCCAGCCTCGTCATGGTGACTGTTGCCAAGGCGACAACATCAAAGAGCAGCCAAGCTTAATTAGGATCCCCAGTGAGAGAGAGAGAGAGAGAGAGAGAGAGAGAGAGAGGGGGAAGTCAAAAAGAGAGAAACGCAGTGAGAGAGACGAGTCAAGAAGAAAGAAAAAGGAGATCTGGGGAGTAAGAGGGAGAGGTGTGTGACAATGAGTGAAGAGGTACAGAGAGGAAAGCACAGACAGGTTGTCTAACACTTACAAAGGTTTATGTGTGTGTGTGTGTGTGTGTGTGTGTGTGTGTGTGTGTGTGTAGAGTCACATTTTGGGCACATAAATGAGTCGCAGTCAGATTGCAGGGACTCACGTCCTATTTGGGGACACAATGCTGGTTATCATGAGGTAAGCCACTGAATTTAAGGGTTGAGACTTGTTTTATGGATAAATATTAGATGGATAATAGTTATGGTAACTCTCCAGGAAATGAATGCAAGTCAACGCAGTGTCCTCCTAAGTGATAAAAATTAGTTTGTGTGTGTGCTTGTTTGAGAGTAGGACACCACACATGTATATTCATTCATACTTCAGATCATTGCTTTTTGTCTGCAAACCAGTCATTATTCATCCAGCCCTGTCTCTCTTTTTCTCCTCCCTGTTTTTCCTCCCTCACTCCCCATCCTCCTCTCTCTGAATGACATGTCTCCAAATCAAAACAGAGGTGATCCAGTTTCTTGCCACTGAAGGAAATGAGCGGCTCTCCCTTCCTCCTCCCACCCGTCCCCTCCTGTCCTCCCTCACGCTCCTGCTGTTGGTCTTTTCCTGGCTAAATCGCCATGAGGAAGGGATAAATAATTAAATTCCATTAGGAAAGTCATCTGTCAATGGGAGTGAGTGAGTGCCACTGGCCGTATATGACTAGGACAGAGGGAGGGAATGAGGGTGGAGAGCATGAGAAGAGGAAAAGGAGGTAGGGATTGTCTATCTATGTATGTATGTGTGTATGTGTGTGTGTGTGTGTGTGTGTGTGTGTGTGTGTGAGAGGGAGTTCAAATGCATGAGAAAAAAGGGAAGGAGGTCAGGGAACAGCAAAGCTAAGTAAACTGGGACATAAAGAACAAGCCCACAGGGAAAATTGAACAAGATCATGGTAAATCCTCTGTTATTTTCTTAATTTTAACAAAACGTGGCATCACAGGGCAGAGGGCCAAGGAAAGGCAACAGAAAGCGGACAAGACAGAAGGAGGGCAAAAACAGGAAGAGGAAAAGACAAACAAAAAGCAGGCCACTGGGAGAGTATGGAGGCAAAAAAAAAAAAAAAGTATAAATGTGTGAAAATGACAGCACCAAAGATAGGCTGAGGTCTTTTCACAGGTGGAGGTGTGACGTCTAAGAGAAGACTCTCCACTTCAAGTGTCCCCTACTTCTACATCTACAACCTGCCGGATGGACTTGTCACCCCCCTATCTTTCCCCTCCAGCCTTCCTTCCATCCATCCACCCATGCCTCGACCCCTTCCAGAGTCCGCGGCCATCGTACCTTAGTAATCGTGTTAAGTCCCTGATTGCAGATGCCTCTCATCACGGAACCAGACACAGTGCTGGCCAGTCTCTGCCAAGCGAGCAAGCGAGACATGCAGAGGCACACAATTTTACACACATGCACACACACGTCACGTGCATACACACATCCAGACGGCCCGGTCGAGCTCTCAAAAAAGACGTAGATGCAGGCAAATCAGCCTCAAATCGGCATTTCACATGGGGAGAAAAGAAATCTCAGTCTGGGATGGAGACGGCTCTAATCACTGAAGAACACTGTGACAGAGGGAACACTGAAAAGCATGCACGCATATAACACACATAGACACACCTCTGGGAAATGTTTGGGTCCTACAGCATGGAAATTCCTGGAGCAGGCAGAAAATAACTGGGACGAGCTAAACACACACACAAGCAGAGATTCACACAGATATACGCAAATATGCAGAGAGGGTAACACGCTTTCCTCGACTGTAATTGCAGCTCTGCGGGAACACCCTCGGGACTGTTTCTACACAGACAACAGCGGAAAGGACGGAGAGAGGGTGTCATGGAAGTGAAAAGGAAGTGTTGGAAAGTGTAAGAGATGAGGAAAGGTTCACTGTTTTGGTTCGTGTATAAGCGATGTTGCCTAGCTTGCAACTAGAAAGTCTAAAAATAGCAACTAAGAGAGAGTGAAGAAAGGATTCCACCAGTGGTGTCTTGAGACCAGGAATCTCCTTCAGTCAATACGAAAAACAAACCGTTTCTAAAAATGGCCAGAGGCTGGTAAGACACAAATGGCATCCGAAAACATTTCTTTGAAATGAGCGGTTGAAATGCTTCTTTCATGTCTACAGTCTAAGGAGGATGCTGTGGTTTATACCTCACTCTCATTTTCTATTCTATTACAGTTCCCAGGGCGGATGTACGTTATGCAGAGTTTGCAGAACACGACATCGTGAAATGTCCGTCCAAGTACGTCTCAGGACTGCAGGTTCACTTGAAAGAAGACAATCCTTTTTTAGAAAACTAGCGCTCACTTTATTTTCCTAATACCATCTGCCCGCCTTGAGTGGCTGTGAGTGCCAAGCTGGTGTCTTCCTGATGAATGAACTGTTTCTAAAATCCTTTAAAAGTAACTGAATAACAAAGTTCACCAATGCTTAGAGTGCACTAATGGACTGGAGAAATATCCGTTTCTCACACATTCTCTGAGAGTTTCTATTTGATTAGATTCAACAACAATTCAATTCTTGCCTTTCAAGTCTGAATCTCTTGCAAGTGTATGAGCTTAAAATTAATCTTTTCGTTCAGTTTCTTGCTGTAGGAAATGTGTGTGTGTGTATGTGTGAATAAATAAAGAGAAGGCCACTGGAGATGGCAGATTAGTGACATACTCAACAGACCAGAATATCAATCACATGAATGTGCGTGAATGGACATCCGTGGATGCTACACAAAACACATGAAAGCTATCTGCAGATAGTTTTTTAAGAAAACATTTAGCTTGGTTTTGGCCCTATTTATAATGTATCCTTCTAATTGGCCACTTGGAAACTGTGGTTCATCGTTACAGCCGTCTTTAGAGTGTTTTTCTTGGTTCATCATAGATAGACCAATGATATTTCAACCCTCAGACTCCATTATTCCTGACCAATGTTATTCACTCGGGTACAATGTTAACTCAAACTAATGGTGTGTGGTTGCACAGATTGGACAGTCAATCACAGCTCTCTCAAAAAGCCTCCTGAGTTCACGGTGGTGATAACAATCTCAAACTCTAATAATATCTGTAAGATAATTGTCTCAATATGTCATCTGGTGTGTAAACACAGTAACAGAGAATCAGTGATGCAATCTGTAATGGGAAAATATGTCATAGTCTCATGTGAAGGTTTAAAGAATGTAAGTCCTAAAAGAGCAGACACCAAACTGTAGTTTCAGTAGATGACTTTAATTAGTTTAGTATCCAGGTGTCTTGTTATCTGTTAT